CCTCTGCCCTGAGCCATCTGCAGATGCTAGAGAACCCAGAAGAAGGGAAAGTATTTGTGGCAACTGCACTTAATAGGTATCTAGTATGCCAAGCCAGTAGCTGTAGATGTCATTTTTGATGGTGGCTAAAACATTGCTTCCCAGGAACAGCTGGTGTCTAAAATAGATAGGGAGGAGAATGCTCCTGGCCACAGTTGTCTCCTGAGAATCAAGCAGGCTGGCTAGTGATGATAGGAGTTGTTGTCCAACAGATCTGGAGGGTATCAGTTTGGCAAAGTGTGTGGGGATCTCCGAGAGGAAGCTGGGAGCTGCAGAATGCATGAACTCCTTGGTTGGCTTCAAAGTTGCAACTGAACTGCCCAAAGGGCCACTTGTGACTCCCAAGCTGCAGATTGGCCACCCTTGTGGTAGGAAAACATGAAGCGACTCTACCCACATTCTGCCACCTTCAGCAAACACAACATTTTGCTGGTTATCTTTAAATTACTTATGGAGCATCAAACATAAAGAATTGTACATTTCCCCCTGTTTCTGAAGTTCAGGTGAGAGTGCCAATCAGAATGTAGCCAAGGCAGCACTTTCCACAAAGAAGAGGGGAGTCTGTGCACCCAGGAGATCTGTGCAGTAAGCAGAAGGTTTTTAAAAAGAGAGAGAAATGGGGGAGGGGGAATTTCCCCACTCTCCCCCAGTAAAACTGTCCATGACTACACTGCATGCCCTCAGTTGTTGCCATACCAGAGCTTGCACAGGATATTTCAAAAAGCCACAGCACAGATGTCTGTCTGGGAAGTGGAACCCTGAGGAGCCAGAGTGGGGGACAATGATATTAGGAAACAGGGGGTGGGAAGCCAATGAGCATGCAGGAGAGGTGATGCAGGCGGAAGAAGCTACCAAGAGGTGGGAGAGAAGGAAGAGAAGACGAAGATGATGATGATGATGATGATGAAGAAGAAGAAGAAGAAGAAGAGTTTGGACTTGATATCCCGCCTTTCACTCCCCTTAAGGTGTTTCAAAGCGGCTAACAATCTCCTTTTCCCTTCCTCCCCCACAACAAACACTCTGTGAGGTGAGTGAGGCTGAGAGACTTCAGAGAAGTATGACTAGCCCAAGGTCACCCAGCAGCTGCATGTGGAGGAGCGGGGAAGCGAACCCAGTTCACCAGATTACGAGTCCACTGTTCTTAACCTCTACACCATGCAGGCTCCCTGTCGATGCAGGAATGACAACAGTTGCCAGGCAGGAGGTGGTGGAAAGTGAACAAGAAAGTGGGTATGGATGTGGCAGGACATGCTCCACAGCAAACTGAAGAAAAGAAATGGGAGACATAGAAGTGGGTGTGGAGGACTGAGCCAGAGGAGGGAGGAAAAAGACAGCCAGGGAAAGGAAAAATATTTGCTGGAGGTCCAACCTGTATGAATCACATTATGAAAATGCACCTCCTCTCTGAACAATGGCACAGATACCTGCAGCTGAGGATTATACTTCATGCATCTAATGAAGAAGACTTTAGTCCACAAGGACTCATGACATAATAAAACTTGTTAGTGTTTAAGGTGCCACAAGACTCAGCAGCAGGAAAAGTGACAATCATTAATGAGTACCTCAATGGATTTTGATAAGTCAATGATAATACACAAGAAATATATTAAGCATTGCAAACCTACAGAACCATTTATGGGAGATGTACCATACTTCAAGCACAAGGTGGTGCTATTACACAACACAAAAGAAATAGTCAAGGACCAGAAACTGTTCTCCAGGAGGCCTGTGTCCGCGAGACAAAGGAATCTCAAGGAGAAAGACACCACACAATCTTCATTACAAGCAAATATTTAGAAATTGTGGGTGGAAAAGGGACCACAACCATTTTTAGATTTAAATACAGGATAAAGGATTTGTCTTGCAAACATACACTGGACAATCAACTGTGGCAGTTGTGTTAGAAAGAATCACCCTGCATTTCAGATTTGACTGGAGGTGAGGCTGGGGGAATGGAAATACTTCTCAACCTCAGGCAAGTTATGTTTATTTCCTTATATCTCTGTGCATGTGTAGCAATGTGTGAGTCTTTCCGCTATTCAGTGCCAGAGGAGGAGAAAAGTGGGTCTCTGGTAGCGAATGTGCTGAAGGATTTGAGAGTGGATGCAAAGGAGCTGTCTGCTCGGAGAGCCCGGCTGGTTTCTAAGAGCTCCAAGCAGTATTTCCAGCTGGATCCTCATTCTGGGGATGTGACAGTAAAGGATAAAATAGATCGGGAGTCCCTGTGTGGTCAGAATGAACCTTGTGTTCTACTGTCTGAAATTGTGCTGGAAAAGCCATTGCAGCTACACAGAATTGAAGTTCAGATAGAGGACGTGAATGATAATTCCCCCAAATTCTCTAAAAATCAATTCCTTCTTGAAATACCTGAGCAGACTCCTGTGGATATCAGATTCCCTTTGGAGAGAGCAGAAGACCCAGACAAAGGAAAAAATGCTGTTCAGAACTACACCCTTAGTCCTAATGAACATTTTAGGCTGGATGTGCAAAGTCACAGTGATGGTAGCAAACATGCGGAATTGGTGTTAGAGAAACCGCTAGACCGTGAGGAGAATCCACAGATTTCCCTTATTCTGTCAGCAGTTGATGGGGGATCCCCAAAAGAACTGGAACAGCACAAATAATCATTGATGTTCTGGATAACAATGATAACTTGCCTCAGTTTCCACAACTTGAGTACAAAGTGAAACTAAAGGAAAATAGCCCATTGGATACACTAGTCACAAAAGTGGAAGCCACTGACAGGGATTTTGGTTCCAATGCTCACATCACTTACTATTTCAGCCAAGTGTCAGAAAATGTGTTGAGATTGTTCAAGTTAAATAAACACAATGGAGAACTTACTGTTACAGGGACAATTGATTATGAAGAAAGCGCAAATTATGAGATGAAAATCAGAGCTACAGATGGAGGAGGCCTTTCTGCTTACTGTAAAGTCATTGTAGAGATTGAGGATGAGAACGACAATGCTCCAGAGATTACCATCACATCCATCACCAGTCCCTTACCTGAGGACTCTCCCCCAGACACAGTGGTGGCCCTCTTCAGTGTCACCGACGTGGACTCTGGAGACAGTGGCAGAACTGCCTGCACCACTGAAGTCAACCTGCCATTTGTGCTCAAACCCACAGAGAACAACTATTACCAGCTGGTGACCCAACAACCACTGGACAGAGAACAAGCCTCTGAATATAACATCACCATCACAGCCACAGACAGAGGCTCTCCCAGACTCACTTCCACAAGAATACTTCATGTTCAAATCTCAGATGTCAATGACAACCCTCCAGTGTTTGAAAAGCCATTTATGAAATGCAGTTAAGAGAAAACAATATTCCTGGTCTTCTGATCAATTCGGTCCATGCTGTTGATCTGGACACAGCGCAGAATGCCAAAGTGACCTACTCGCTTTTGCCTGGCAAGGTCACTGATGGCCCCACATCCTCTTACATCTCCATCAACTCTGAAACGGGGAACCTGTATGCCATCCGGTCTCTGGATTATGAGGAAGTGAAAGATTTCCAGGTGACGGTGAGGGCTGTGGATTCAGGTTCCCCTCCACTGAGCTCCGAAGTTCCCATCCGCGTTCAGGTCGTGGATGAAAATGACAATGCCCCCTTCATCCTCTACCCTCTCCAGAATGGCACTTCCCCCTCGAATGACCTGGTTCCCCGAGGGGCAGAGACTGGCTACCTGGTCACCAAGGTGGTGGCTGTGGACAGGGATTCTGCGCAGAACTCTTGGCTTTCCTACCAGCTCCTGAAGGCCACAGAGCCGGGTCTGTTCACAGTGGGGGCCCAGAATGGAGAAGTGACCACCCTGAGGCCGGTCAGCAACCGAGACAACTTCAAGCAGAATCTGATTGTGGTGGTCCGAGACAACGGCCATCCTCCCCAGTCCACCTCTGCCACGCTCAGAATCCTCCTAGTGGACGGCTTCTCTGACCCTTATCTGAAAAGTGTGGCTCTCCCAAAGGAGGAAACGGAGAGGAGGAAGACCCCAGCCTGACGATGTATTTGATCATCTGCTTGGCTGCCATATCAAGCATCTTTCTCATTTCTGTAGTGGCCTTTGTTGTAATCAAGTTGCAGAAACGTGAAAAGTTCATAGGAACCTACAACTCTGGAGCCAATTTCCCGGTGGGACCTGATTCCCAGGAGAACTCTGCGGATCCTGGTGCTGGATCTCTATCCCAGGCTTACAACTATGAGGTGTGCTTAGCTGGTGGGTCTCTGAACAGCGAGTTCAGGTTTCTCAGGCCCCTGTTTCCTGTTTTCTCTGTGGAGCCTCCTAGCACTCAGCTGAATCCAAGGAGTTCCAATGATTCTGAAGGAGTCCCCAGACATGCAGGTGAAAGTCAAAACATTATCCAGGTGAGTTCAGCATTTGAATCCTTTCAGTATGGTTTAATTTTATTTTCTCCGTCTAGTTTGGTCCCCTTGTACCTGTGAGGTGGTAGGCTGAATTCAGCAGAGTGCACAAAATATGAATGCGGGTTTGAAATTCTACTTTAAAAAATTTGTTCCGTTTACCTGTGTCCTTGTATTCTGATATTGTTGTTTCTGTCCTTGCATAGAGGAATATACACTTTCATATTAATATTTTTGTGGTTTGATGTGCTATAGAATAACTTCATAACCTCTTTAAACACTCTGAATGGGAGGGGGTGTCACTCAAAAGCTGAGATGCAGGTTGCTTCCATATGACCTGTTTACTACTTTTTTAAAAAAAGAAATAAAGTGATACAAAGAAAAAAGAGGGGAATGAGGAAAAAGAAGAACAATCCTGTGTATAAGATTTTTTTTTATACAAAAAATCAATGTAATGCATTCCCATATTGTAATCAATATATACATATTAATAGCCTGCTATATTCTCTGTGTGAAGGCCATATGGCATCAAGCAAAAGTTATCATACACTTTCCAAGGCATTTTCCTGTCACTTTCGTCATTGCAAAATGTTTGATTGAGGTGGGAGGGAGGGAGATTGTTCCACAAGAGCACCATATGTGCTGTGCATCTTGAATTCCCTGTATGAGATTGACTCCCATGCACAACAGTGTTCAAGAACTATGGAAAGTAATGCATTGATTTGTGATATCTGCACTCATTCAAATGGAAAAGAGGCATCTTCCTAGTAATAAAACAGTCTTTTATGAACAGAGAAACTGTGAATCTGAAGCTTTCCTGTTCAGTATAATGTGCACTGCATTCAGTGTTATTTACTGAATCTTAGTGGCTTTTCTTTGCTCAGCCACACGGTGGTAGTACAGGCAAAGACATGAACTGGAATTCAGAATTTTGTGAAGGAACTCACAGGAAGCCATGAGCAAAAAGGTGGCTGGAACGAAGGACGGGTGACTTTCATACGCAATAAAGAGATAACATAAAGCACAGCAAAGCCATCAACACGGCAGCATCAAATTCATTTCTGCAGCAGCAGAGATTATCATTGAATGACTGTCAGAAACTTCATCTTTTGGCCAGAGATTCTTGAGCCATGGGAGACAGCTACAGAAAGGAACAAGGTCTGTATTTTTTGCTTTTCCTTTGTCTTCCTGGAGCACTGAGTATTTCACTTCACTATTCTGTGCCTGAAGAAAAGAAAAGGGGGTCTTTGGTGGCTAATGTGCTGGAGGATTTGAAACTGGGAACAGGGGAGCTCTCTGCTCGCAGAGCCCAGCTGGTTTCTAAGAACACTAAGCATTATTTTCAACTTGATACCAAGACTGGGAATTTGTTGATAAATGATAAAATAGACCGAGAAACATTATGTGGCCAGACTGATCCTTGCTTATTACAGTCTGAAATTGTGTTGCAAAATCCCTTAAAAATCTACAGTATTGAAATCAAGATAGAAGATGTGAATGATAATGTCCCCAAATTCTCTAAAAAGGCATTTGATCTGGAAATTCCTGAAAATGTCTCTCCAAATACACATTTCCCTTTGGAATCTGCCCAAGATGAGGACCTGGGGATAAATAACATCCAAAACTACACTCTCAGTCCCAATGAACATTTCCGGCTGGATGTTAAAAGTGAAGAAGATGGAAACAAGTATGTGGATCTTGTCCTGGAGAAGCCACTGGACAGGGAGAAGGACTCACACTTTGGTCTGACTCTCACAGCTGTGGATGGAGGGGAACCACAAAGAACAGGCACAGTTAAAATAAATATTGATGTTCTTGACATCAATGACAATTCCCCAGAGTTTACTCATTCAGAATATAAAGTAAGGTTAAAGGAAAACAGCCCACAGGGTGCTCTGGTCTTCAAAGTGGGAGCTACAGATTTGGATTTTGGCTCAAATGCACAGATCACCTACTCATTCCACCGGGTACCAGAAAAAATATATGATCTGTTTCACCTAAATGAAATCACGGGGGAAATCACCCTTTCTGGTCAGCTTGATTATGAAAAAGAAACCAGCTATGGCATGAGCATCAGAGCAACAGATGGAGGGGGTCTTTCAGGTCATTGCAAGGTCCTGGTAGACGTTGAAGACGTGAATGATAATGTCCCTGAAGTGTCCGTCATATCCATCAATAGTCCTCTGGCAGAGGATTCTCCCCTGGAGACACTTGTGGCTCTCTTCACTGTCACAGATCGAGACTCCGGAGACAATGGCAGAACCATGTGCTCTGTGGAGGCAAAGCTTCCTTTTATGTTAAAACTCACTATGAATAACTATTACCAGCTTGTGGTCCAAAGTCCCTTGGACAGAGAGAAGGTCTCAGAGTATAATATCACCATCACAGCTGTAGACAATGGCTCCCCCAGGCTCACTTCAACAAGAATTATTAACATTCAGATCTCAGATGTCAATGACAACCCTCCAGTATTTGAAAAGTCTTCATGTGAAATGCAGATACGGGAAAACAATATTCCAGGACTGCTCATTGGCTCAGTCCGTGCTGCAGATCTGGACACTGAGAAGAATGCCAAGGTCACCTACTCCCTTTTGCCTGGGAAGGTCACTGATGGCCTTGTGGCCTCTTACATCTCGGTCAACTCTGAAAGCGGAAATCTGTATGCCCTCCGATCTCTGGATTATGAACAGATCAAAGATTTCAAAGTGACGGTGAGGGCTACAGATGGAGGGTCTCCTCCCCTGAGCTCAGAAGTTAGTGTTCGAGTCGTAATCCTAGACGAAAACGACAACGCTCCCTTCTTCCTCTACCCTCTTCAGAACAGCACATCCCCCTGCAATGAGCTGGTCCCCAAGTCGGTGGAGGCCGGCTACCTGGTCACCAAGGTGGTGGCTGTGGATGGAGATTCTGGCCAGAACTCGTGGCTTTCCTATGAGCTGCTGAAGGCCACAGACCCTGGTCTTTTCAGCATAGGAGCCCAGAATGGGGAAGTGAGAACCAGGAGAGCCCTGACCGAGCGAGACACCAGCAAGCAGAGGCTCCTGATAGTGGTCAGGGACAACGGGCTCCCTCCCCAGAGCAGCACTGCCATGCTCCATGTCCTTCCCGTGGGTGGCTTTTCGGATCCTTATATGAAGGCTGTGGAGGTCAGTAAAGAGGAGCACGAAGAAGATGGGACCTTGACCTTGTATCTGGTGATCTGCCTGGCTGCAGTCTCCTTTGTGTTCCTCGTTTGCATTGTTTCCTTTGCTGCCATCAAGATCTGCAGGAGGGATTCCAGGGAAAGTTTTATCGCTGCCCCTCCTCACTTCCCACCTGCCAGACCCGACATCCCAGAGAACTGTGGCGATTCTCAGAGCGGGTCTCTTTCCAGGAGTTACCACTACGATGTTTGCTTAACCGGTGGGTCCTTGAGCAGCGAGTTCAGGTTCCTCAGGCCCCTCATTCCTGTTTTTTCTGTGGGGGACCCAAACCTCAATGTGAACCAGACCACTCCTTCTGCTTTCCAAGATATTCCTGACCAGGCGGGGAAAGAAGAATCAGAGGAAAAGGTGAAATAATTTCCAAATACACCAGTTAGTCACTTTGACATTGATAATTCTTTGTGCTTGGTAATTAGGCAAATCATATGTTCTCTTATTGCTTTTGAAATCTATTGACAATATATTTTACATTTTAGAGCATGCTTCAGTTTAAAAATCAGTTGTTTATTTCAAGTCCATGTGAAACTTTTTTTCTCTTTTCCCTCTGTCTTCATCGCTGGTCCATCGTCTGCATTTGCTATTTATCTCTCCTCCTTTCTTCTTCCACCCTTCCATTTCTCAGGCAGGCCACCTCTTCCCAGCCCAATGTTGAATTCAGATATTTTTCCTTCAGCCCTCCTGCTATTTAGGTCCTCTGCCTTTGGACTTTCTGCATTTTAAAACAAGCTCAGAACATCATAGCCACTGCAGATACACCAATGTGTCCCAGAATATGCATACCTCCAAGGTGTGGACGACATACCTGTAGCTGCAGCTGCTGAAGTACCTGCACACAGGAGCCCGGATTAGAGCAGGCTTCCCAGTTATATACATGGCATCATTTAGAGGGTCTTCTTGCTAGTGGCACCCCACCTGTGTAATTGCCTAGGATCACTGAGTACCCTATTCAGGGTTAGATGACCTTTTTCTTTATCCAGGCCTTTAAACCATCGGCATTTTGAGCAAACAAATCTGGGCTCTCATAGTTTTCTGTTTTATAATTTGAACTGTTAAGTGCAAGTAGGCTGACTTGTAATCTGCCATTATTATAAACAATGTGGGAGAGGGGAACATAAGCAATATAGAAATCTGTATTTTAATGAGTCAAAACTTTGGTCCATCTATCTCAGTAATGTCTGGCAGCAGCTCTCCAGGATTTCAGACAAGTATCTTTTCAGACCTACCTGAGGATTCCAGGGTTTGAACATGGCATGTTTTGTATGCAGAGCAGTTTTTTACCACTGAACAAGAAGCCCTTTGATGTAAGAATCAGGTTCTGGAGTTTATAGTTGCAAAATGGTTCAACAGTCTGACTTGAAACCTGGAATTGTTAACACCTTTAAGGATGGTCCACACCAAACCTAGGATAGAAATGATAAGGAATGGCTTGTTTTGAATGAGTTGTTTGTGTAATGAGGGTGGCAAATTGGCAGGTGATGTGCTTTTTCTAAAATCTACATCACTGGGGGGCATTTTCTGGAAAGTTTCTCTTTTGGATTGTATCTTTTGCAAAATGGTTTGTTGACTTAGGTCAACAGGAAAGTCTAGTATGTGTTTTAATCTAATGGAAGTGAAATATATTCATTTTTTTTAATTTAAAATGCTTTTTTTTGGCCAATGTTAGCCAATAGGATTTCATTATGGTGTCCCCACCCTGAAAGAGATGGTCAAGTGGAGGGACTTTGGTGTAGTTTGCAAGTGAGTTTCAGTTGAAGACACTGACAGAGTGTGGCTGAGTAAGGGACAGAAAAGCGAAGGGGGAAGGAGATGAAAAAGTGCTATATGTTCATAGCTGTGGCAACTTAGTCAAGGCTGATTTGGCTGAATCACATCCCACCATTATAATGAGAAATGAGAAGTGGAGGCATTAAGTTCTGTGGCTTATAGTTTGAAACTTGGCAACATATTTTTTTGTAGAGTGCCTTCCTGCAAGTGCCATGATTAGACATGGTTAAGATTGTGCTAAAAGACTTACTGAACAGAACACTCAGCCGTGCACAGACCCTGTAACCTGAGTTCCCACCAGACTGGTGTAAGATCAAGTACATCAGAAGTCTTTACCATTGCTTGGAAGAGACTCTTGCTGTTCCCTGCATTCTCCATACCCTCAGCACAAATTAAAGAAGCAACTTTCCTCTGATTAGACATGGTTATGATTGTGTTGTAAAACACCCCAGAAATACCTGGTGCCTAAAAGAGATAGAAAAAGATTCTGCTGGTCACAACAACCACCTGAGACTTAAGTAGTATTGTCTCCAGTTGTATTCCCAACCTGCAGAATAATGCAATTGAGGGTTATCAGCTGACATACATCATAAATCAATTCCACAGGTGCATGTTGGGATGTTCAGGATGGAACTGAAGTTTGTTCTGTTCCTATATGATTCTTCAAATGACATTTCATTGGAGCAAATATCATGTCCTATAAACAACTTCCACACCACATGATGGGTCACAAAGTATTTAGAAACTTGTCTCTCATTGTGTTCTACAAGATCTGTATTATCTTAGGTTATGAAATTTATACATAAAGTATAAATATCAATATAAACATCTATATTAAGTATATGCATTATGGCAAGTGTCCTACTGTATTTCTACCCATGGCTGATCTGAGTGTCATGTGTTGACTGAACTGTGTGTGTGCAGATATGCCAGGTGTCACAAGGTGGGAGACCCAACTGACTGGGGATAAGATCGGACACAGAGGTTCCTCTCTGGGCCCCAGCTATAGAGAACGCAGTGGCGTAGCGTGGGGGGTGCAGGGGGGCCGGCCGCACCGGGCGCAACATCTGGGGTTAGGGCAAATCCACGGGTTAGGGGGCGCAAATCCACGGGTTAGGGGGCGCAAATCCACGGGTTAGGGGGCGCAAATTACTTGCCTTGCCCCGGGTGCTGACAACCCATGCTACGCCACTGAGAGAACGTTCAGCTGGGAAAGAGGGGAGTAGAGAAAGAATGTCCCATGGGGAAGGGAAGCAAGAGAGAGAAAGAATAGAGTGTTTGTGTGGGGCACTGAACTGTTTTACTAATCTGTACAACATTTTATACTAGGCTCCTACTTGTATATATCACATTAGGAAGATGGAACCCAGTTCAATGAGTAGTAAGTAACAGTGACTCTTCCTCACATACTCATATTTACAGATGAATGTGAACTTTATATTGAAACGCACATATTCATCTTCTGTGAGGAACTGAAAGGACTGAATGGCCAGGGAAACCTTAATAATACAGAATGCTAATATGTATAGAAGAGCATGTGTGTGGTGTATGCTTTAGAGAAAGAGGTGCAGTTCCCTGTAGGTCATGACATGAAATGTCTTTTGAAGAATCAAAGAGGAACAGAACATTTACAGATGAATGCAAACTTCATATTGAAATGAGTATATTCATGAATCAGTTATCATGGCTGGGAACTCTCCTTCATTCCAAGCCTCTCTTTCCCCGCCGATAGACTGTTTTTATTTATTTATTTTTACATTAATAATGTAAAAGTTGTTCCATGTGGTCTACATAGTTCTCCTGTTCCCCATTTTATCTCCCAGCAGCCTTGTGGGTACTGTAGGTTAGGCTGTGATGGGTGGTTGGGGGAACAAACATTAGGAGGTTTTAGTAGCCTGAGAAATGTAAAACATGACATAATAATTTTGGGAGCAGGAACAAGGTTCTAAGGATTGTATTCAACTAAGTGTAACTGAAAGAGATCAATGGATGTAAAAAATAAATTTAAAAAAATCATGCACATTGATTTCAGTGAGTGTATACTGTGAATGACTTAGCTGGACACAAATCATACAGCCCATATTGTGTCTGTAGGAATTCATGGAAGTAAAATACGGTATGGAGATAATACTCTAATTTCTCACCAAATCACCATCATCAAAAGAAGAAGAAAAACATGTTTTATTTCATATCTCAGGTTCTAAAGAAACTCTTAAAAAGAAAGAAATCTGGGAATATGGGGTTTATGTTCCATTGGGGTGGCTGCTCTCTTGCCTCTCCACATGGATGCTCATATTCTGAAAAATCTTTTGTTTTTTTAACGCCATAACATAGTTCAAACACAAGGTGGTGGTATTGCACAAGATAAAAGAAGGAAATTGGGGAGCAGCAGTTGCTCTCCTCAAGAGCTGAAGCCATTAGACAAAGGAATCAGCACAGGAAAAACAGCAGATCCCTATTGCAAGCCAGTCTTCAGAAATTCAGTAGGAATAAGCAGGACACAGTGTCACATTCAGAAGATAAAGACAGCTAAGAAGAGACACGCCTTGGAATAGAGAAGAGGACAATGCCTTGCATTTCAGGAGGAGAGGCTGGGAGAATGGAATTGCATCTCAAGATCAGGCAAGTTTGGTCTTTTTCCCTGTGTCTCTGTGCATGCATAGCAATGTGTGAGTCTTTCCGCTATTCAGTGCCAGAGGAGAAGAAAAGGGGTCTCTGGTAGCGAATGTGCTAAAAGATTTGAGAGTGGATGCAAAGGAGCTGTCTGCTCGGAGAGCCCGGCTGGTTTCTAAGAGCTCCAAGCAGTATTTCCAGCTGGATCCTCATTCTGGGGATGTGACAGTAAAGGATAAAATAGATCGGGAGTCCCTGTGTGGTCAGAATGAACCTTGTGTTCTACTGTCTGAAATTGTGCTGGAAAAGCCATTGCAGCTATACAGAATTGAAGTTCAGATAGAGGACGTGAATGATAATTCCCCCAAATTCTCTAAAAATCAATTCCTTCTTGAAATATCTGAGCAAATTCCAACAAATACCCGATTTCCTTTGGAGAAAGCTCAAGACTCAGACAAAGGAGAAAATGCTGTTCAGAACTACACCCTTAGTCCTAATGAACATTTTAGGCTGAATTTGAAAAGTAACAGTGATGGTAGCAAATACGCAGAACTGGTGTTAGAGAAACCGCTAGACCGTGAGGTGAATCCACACATTTATCTTACTCTGTCAGCTATCGATGGGGGGATCCCAAAAAGAACTGGAACAACACAGCTTCTCATCGATATTCTGGATGCTAATGATAATGTACCTCATTTTCCACAATCTGAGTACAAAGTGAAACTAATGGAAAACAGCCCATTGGATACATTGGTTGCAAAAGTGGAAGCCACTGACAGGGATTTTGGTTCCAATGCTCACATCACTTATTCCTTCAGTGAAGTTCCAGAAGATGTGTTGAGATCATTCAAGTTAAACAAACACACTGGGGAACTTACTATTGTAGGGATGACTGACTATGAAGAAATCAGCAGTTATGAGATGCACATCAAAGCCACAGATGGAGGAGGGCTTTCAGCTTACTGCAAAGTCATTGTAGACATTGAAGATGAGAATGACAATGCCCCAGAGATATCAATCACTT